ATGTGAAATATGTTTAGATTTTATTTGTGCATTGAGGTTTAGTTTTATCTACTTCCATACAGTATAGAATATACACATTTGTTAAATGTATGTTACTGTATATACTTATTGCCCCATCTGACATACCAAATTTCCATAAAAACATAGGTCTCTTTTTAGGGAACCTGTTCAAATTCATTTTCTGTTTGTTTTTTCCATGCAAAACCTTTACTTCTTTATTATTTTAGTAAATCTGATTTATGGCATGAGTATGCTATCATTCTTCAAATATGCCTCGTCTATTCTTTTGCTTCCATATGAACTTTTAAGTGATCTTGTAATATTTATCATATATTTTTGGGAAATATCACTGTAGTTGCTAACAACATGGATGTTTATTAGCCTGTCAAGTTTATAGCTTAAATGCTTTTCCATGAAGGAGACCACAGATGGATGTATTATGGAACTGTCATTATAGCCTTCTTGCTGAGGATTTGGGCAATTAAGAATGAAAGCAAAATATCTAGTTATCCAAATGAGCTAAATAGATGAACTAGGCAGATATTGCTAAATTGGATATTTAAAAGCATATGCCCCATGTATGTGCTGTAGTGTAAAAGGAAAATGATGGCATAACTTACTTTTAAACAGGGTTTGAATAGTCTGTCTTTGCCAATGTTGGTTGCTTGAGATATTAGAACAGCAAAAATCACCAAGAGTAAATTCTAATGTGTATATATCTAGCCACAAAAATTAAAAGAGAAATAGAAGATTCATAATTGTGTTTGGCTAGTTCAACACTTTTTTCTCCATAACTGGTAGAAAACTAAGAGGGCAGAAAATTTTTGAGAATACTGAAGGATGTGAATGATACTGTCGACCAACTGGACTTGTTGATAAAACACCCAGCCAACAGTAAAACACACATTCTTAGTGCATTTGAAACATTATCTCTTCATAGCATTAGTCAAATAAATCTTCCCAAATGTGAATGAATTAAAATCATATAAAGTATATTCTTTAACCATAATGGAGTCAAACTGGAAATCAAAAACAAGAGACCTTGAAACCCTTCAAATATTTGGAAATTTTAACAGGATACGTATGCATAACCCATTGGTCTAAGAAGTCACATTTAGTTGATAGAAAACAAAATACAGCATAACACTATTTGTGAGATGAAATTAAGCAGTGCTTTTAAGGAAATATGTGGCATTAAGTGTTGATATTGAAAAGGCAAAAAATAAAACCAATAATCTAAGGTCTCACTTTAATAAACCAGAAAAAGATGAGAAAATTAAGCTCAAATCAAGGAGATAAAAGAAAATAATAAAGATCCAGAATAGAAGACACTGATGTTCAAAGCACGAGAACAGAGTAATTAATTAAATAAAACCTAGTTGTTGAAAAATTAAATAGATAAATCCTTAGCTACAACCACTGAGAAATGAATAGACAAAATACCAATATATGGATTAACAGATGAAAAACCCACATATATACAATGGGCAGTAATGAATAATAAACACTACAGAAACTTATGCCCATAAACTTGACATATTATATTAAACAGAGCAATTCCTTAAGACACACAGTTGAACTTCACCCAAGAAGAATGAGATATTTTAAATTATTTTATATCTGTTAGAGTAGTTGAAGTTTTGTTTAAAAACTCCCAGTGAAGAAGTAAGCTAGGCCTATATATTTTTTACTGTTAAATTCTAGCAAATATTTAAGAAAGGGCTAATATCACTTTTATACATCCCATTCCACAAAGAAAAAATGCATTTTAGGAAGTCCATAAATATTCTGACAACAAAACAAGATGCAAACTATAACAAGAAAAAATCTTAAGGACAATATATTATTACCAAGTGGACTCATCCCTGAAATCACAAATCAACCACAGTAGTTTACCCTATTAACAGACTGCAGAAAAATTATATGATCTTCTTAATGTATGCAGAAAAAGCATTAGACAAAATATAATTGCCATTCATGAAAAAATTCTTCACAAGTAGTAGTAGAAGGAAACTTTTTTACGCTGATAAGAGAAAAGAAAACCTATAGATAATGTCATAGTAATTGGATCAAGAGAACAGAATAAGAATGGATTTTAGAAACAGACTCATATATATTAACAAATGATTTATGGTGAAGGTGCAAAGGTAATTCAAAGGAGAAAGTAGTCTTTTAAACAAATGTAATACTGGAATAACTAGCCATTTCTATGAAAATTAATTGATCAAGCATATAATTATAAACTAATAATAAATTTCACACCTTATATTGAACCAGATAGACAACCTCAAAATGGATCATAAAGGCAAAATTGCAAAACTTCAAACTATAAAACTACTATAAGAAGATTTAGGAGAAAATTGTTGTGAATTTGAGTGTGAATAAAGTGGTATCATGATAGAATTATCCTTTTTCTTGATGCACATGATTGTGTATTTGTCAATATGTGGAAGTATACATCAATAATTGTGGTATGATTTTAATAGATAACTCCTTTCTTTTGCTTTTCTGAGAGAGGATATTTTTATGTAGCCTGGGCTGCTTCAACCTTAGCGTCCCAACTACTGGGATTACAGCTATGTACCACAATGCCTTCTACTAATTATTTTCATGTCTTTAAAAATATTTTTCCATGAATATACTTGATTTCAAGAAGTCATTAACTGTAAGATGAGCCCATTAGTCTGTATCATTAAGATGGAAGAAAAATACTAATTCAACTGTAACATTAAAGCAATTACAAAAATGTATATTGATTTCAAACACATCATAAAGAAATGGACATCAATAAATATGTGATATTCAAATTGGGATTTATCATCCATCCCACTTCAGTTCCTAGTTTTTGATTTTGTAAAACAAACACTAGAAGTCTGAATCAGAGAGATCTTTGACCTTGGAGGCCTGAGAAGCCAAAGAGCGAACCCAGCTATTTCAAAAGACTTGAGTGAGTACAGACATAGGTAATACAAGGGGAAGGCCATTTCTTTCCTATGTGCCCAAGAATTCTTGCGAGTGGTAAAGGGAGAACCAGACAACTATCCAAGGTACCCTTCAGCTCATTGATATCTTTATGCAATTGAGAGAAATTAAACCTTACCTGAAACCTTTTTTAAAATGTGCTGCATTTTAAAGGTGAATTTAATATATGAGTAGGTTGTGATACAGATGGTTACTTAAATAGTAATTCATCAGAATTCCTTTCAATGGTAAATGCTTCATTAAGATTATAAATACTTTGGCCAAATTTAATGTACATGAATAACACCTTTGTGCATTTTATGTAGAGTAAGATGAAGGAATTGCCAGACTACTAAAGGTGACAGAAATCACTGGGAACCTATGAATAGCTATGATTCTGGGTAAGAATCAAGACCACAAAAATATTTATGAGAAAAACGAAGTCTGCAGTATTTCTACCACTTTGAAATTAGTACTGGGGCTTTGTGATAGTAGACTTAACTCATACTGATTTTAGTATATATTTTAAAGACAGAATAATCTAATAAAATACTGAGCCTAAAATTTCTTTTCCTGATCAATGCAGTTCTGAACTGCCATTTATTGAAATCTTTCATGATTATGACATTAATATATTCTTAAGGAGCTTGTCAACATTCTGTAAAATCAATCACTTTAAATCTATAATGAATTCAATTATTGATGAACGTTTTGGGGGTGGACCTTTCATAATTTGTCGGTGTGAGAGTGTTCAACAATACCTAAGTCACTACTTCTTGTTTTCAATATCAGCATCTCAAATTTCAATGAGACTTAGAACAAAACACATAGTAAAAAGAACCTAGTATTTTTATAACTACTAACAAAATGATGTTACATAAATTAAATGAGAAGGCAAAAGATGAGTAGTGGTACATGAGTTCAATATACATCCATTTATTAATGCATGTGCCAGAGGATTGCATCATACTAGGTATTTGGAAAAGTCATTAACAAAGCAATTGCCTAAGAATTTACCATTAATTAGTTTATCTTACTGGTCTGTTTTCATATTCAGTAGCAGAATGGTTCTGAGAGAGATTAATCACTTCTGTTCTTACTATAACAGACCAGCTTGTTTATAAAACACAGTCAATGTAACAGGTTTTTGTTTCTGCACATATATGAAGTCCACTAACAGTTATGACTGAAGTTACATTATAAAGTATTGTTCTGCAGCCAAGTATTTAGGAACAGACTCTAAAAACTCAAATCATAAAAATCCAAATATTCATGAAGTATTTCGTAATCCAAAACCAACCTAGATACATTTTTGTTACCAAGCTCTGTTTTTCTATTGTATCTGATACAGTTTGGGCATATAAATTACAAAATTGTAAGCAATTTCTTCCATTTATTTTATATTTTTCACTAAATAGATAAAGACATAACTTTTGGCTCCAATGCAAGATATAGTAATGCTGCATTCAGTGTAATCATTGAATATTCTTTAAAAGAAATATTTAAGTAAATAAGGCAATAGTCATAACTGTCAGCAGGAAAATACTAATGATAGTTATCACAGGTAAAGAAAAAGCTGAGACATAAAGCTACATGGCAGATGCATCAACTTACGCTTTTTAAAATTTTAACAAATGTGATGTGACCTTGGCAGTTTTAAAGAACATAGTTTTGTTAATATATCAAACGTTAACAAAGTAGCATTGCTTTGTGTAAGTTTGCTTTAATAGCATTTCTTCACAGTGATATTTCAGAAAGGTTGGAAACTGATCAGCATAAAATATTTCCCACCTTTTCTATTTTAATTGGTATGCAAAAATCATCACAATATATCTGCAACTATAAAATTACAAATGCTTTCTAGAAGTCACTTCATTTCTGGCTATGTAGAAAACGGTGTTTGTAAGGTGTCTACAATGAGGTAAGTCTAAATAAAACAGAATTTGAGTAATAAGTACTTTCTGATGGGGCTGTATGAACTCATAGAACAAAGTCAACTATGGAGAAACTCAAAAGACTTATTAGTAATGAGATTAAATAACATTTTAAGAGATAGTCTTGATATTTCACTTTACATCTCATTTTGGCACTTCATGGAACATTATTTCCCAAAAACCAGAATTGGTATAAAAGTTCAGTAAGTTTTCTACATACCTTGTAGACATTGTACTTGAGTACTGGCAAACAATGAAACATAGTGAAATAAACATTCCCCTGTATTTTCACATGCATGCAGTAGACAAACAAGTTAGTTTTATGAATTCTCAAAAATGGTATCTTGCTGCTTTGTTTCAAGCACTCTCTTCAGTAGATCTTGTTTCAGATTTTAATCTTACAAATTCTTTAGCCACATCATCGCTGGTCCTCTGAGAGAGTATTCTAAGGATAGTCAAACCAGTTTCATCCATAGAGATACTTTTCAAAAGAGGATACCATGTCCCATAACTTCCCTTTTCTGCAATGTTCTGTAGTTGAATTACTGTCATTCCAATAATTCGATCTTCCCGGGCAAAACAGTAATCCTTGACTGAGAGGTGAAGTTCATAGGCCCCTGGGCGGTTTTCATTACCCAGAATGCTGTGTGAAAACAAAAACACAATATGATCAAAATGTTTACTTCAACTGTCAAAAACTGCATTCACTGTTTGAATGTTATGGTGGCAAATAGATTATCATTATATTTTAACCCTGATGCTTTAAAGTCTATTTAGATTGTTTTCTACAGATATTACTGGGAAATGTAATACATATATTGATAGGAATGAGAATTAATATATTCTGTTGTATTTAATTGGTATAGGCAAGGTCTCCTCATTTATAAAGAGATTGTTAGGGAGCTAGGCCAGGGCAATGGATAATTTTAGAAGAATTTATCAGCTGTTTCAATATCAGCTACTATAATCTTTGCTTTTCCTCAGACTGTGGATACGCTATTGTATCTAGGAACCTCTCCTCAGGGAAATAGATTATCAAGCCCTATGCACAGATGCTAAATTAGATACAAATCTCCAGAGTAGATGAGCTCCAGCAGAGCCTGGTGCTGCAATGCCAATTCTTTCCGATGGCAACACTTAGACTTTTCAAGTAGGTAGCTGAAGATGGCCTCTACTAACGACAACCGAAGACAACTTGTGCATGTGGAACTGCATATAATGAGGAAAGCTGCATGATGATACACTGGAAATAGTTGTTCTTCACTCCTTATTTCAATTCATTCTCAGATATTCTTGACTTTCTAATGAATGCTCACCTATTTTTCAGCAGTACCAGTTTCTCAGTTCCATTTTCAGATGACATTGATAACTAAACTGTACACTTATTTTTAGAGACACTCTGAAATAAAAGGGTATCTAAGAACAAAACATGATAGGAGTCTTTGTGGATAATGCTAACTTTCCCAAGAATAGTGGTCTTGGCCGTTCATAGTATTATATCTAAATTTTACATAAGTTGAGCAATTTTTAGAATGTTTTCTAATTTCAATAAGTCACTTATCTACCCAAGTGCTCTTGCCAAAAACCTAGGGCCCATCATAGTTTTATTCAGTGCTAGTTGTCACCCATCTGCTCAAATTGGATCTATGCCATCTTTTCTTTCACTTTGCAATGTAGTATTGCCCTGTAGGACTACAATGTTGCGGGTTTTCACATTCTGGTTTCCGCTTGACTTTGGCCAAAAAGACCATTGTTCTTGGGAAAGGTAGCACAAAGAAGACTCCTATTGTGTTTTTCTCTCCTGTTTTTATCCCTCAGACTATTTTATGGAATGCAGACATATAGACATCAGAAATGTTGAGAATGAGGTCAGAGCTTTTACTACCATGATTGTGTGTGTGTGTGTGTGTGTGTGTGTGTGCAAGGCTGCCTTGAATAGGCTGTTTCAAAACCCTTCGTGGAATGTCACTGCGCCTTTTAAGGTGGATGACTACACATTAAGCTTTCACTTTATCAGTGTTGGAAATAAAGATAGCCCAACTCCCATTACGATAGTTTATAATCTCCATATACTTCCATTCTTGAATTATCAGTGTTCCTGGGAATTCAGTATACTCCATTTTGTTCCTGTGATTGGGTTACTCAGTATTATCTCTGCCTGTTAGCTGTTGCTTCACTGTAATTACTTCTCTATATGACCAACAAAATCATTAAATATACAAATTTGGTGGTTGTCCCTTTGCCTAAAAACCTTCAGAGGGCCTCCTAATGAACTGAGAATTACAAAAGCCTCCCCAGATTAATTTTATCTCACCACAGAGTGTTTCTTATATATGCCAGCCTGATCCTATCTTAACGTCATTGCAATTTCACTTGGCCTGAAATGTTCTTGACTCTTTTGTACAGAACTGGTTTTTTATTTTTAGGGGTTTTAGATTAAAAGTCACAAGCTTGGCAAACTTTTCCAGAGCACCTTCTTGAGGCAACTAGTCATAGTACTTACTACACGATCCTCTGGATAGAACTAGTTTTATGCATGCTATTTGCTACTCCATGATACATTTTTAACAAGCAACTTCAGTGACAGTAGAGACATTCAACTACATGTCTCCAATATCTGTAACATTGCTGTGACATTGCTGATACACACAAAGGGAACTAAAAACAGCTTTTTTTCATTTTCAATGACTAAACCTATGGGCTTTAATTTCCTTAGCTGTAGAATAGCTATTGTCTGATTGAGTAAGTGAGTTGGGTTTTGTTACTTACAACTGAAATGTTTCATTGTACTTTGGTGACCATGTGTTGCTTTTTGTCTTTGTGCCTTGTTTTCTCTTCTTGTCTCCTAGGTTAGGTCCCAGTATGCAAACTTCCACAAAGGGTCGGAACATTGCTGTGGTCTGCCAGTGTAGGTCATTAATAGCAATCACTAAAATCCAAAAAAAGGAAAATTGTAAGGAATGTAGGACTTTTCTTAAGAACAATTTAGGGATTCTATTTTCATTTGATAGTGCCCTAATTCCATTACAAGGGATTGTACACAAAGTAAAGTCCTTTTCTGGAGTACACACTTTTCAGTTCAAACTGTGCAGAATTGTTAATGACATAGTTGATGATAATTGAAATATTATTCAAGTTATCATTCCTCTTTAGGTAAAACCATGTTTTTCATCCTGAAACATTTAGGAAATATACAGAGAATAGTTTAAAATTATCTGTAATTTTACCTCTTAGAGGCAATGACTTGGTGTGCATAGTTTCCACATTTAGTTTATGTACCAAATGGAATCACAATGTATTATAGTCTTACAAGTAGCTTATATTTTTGAAAGTTCATCATGGATATCCCATCCTACAATCCCTTCTTATTAAATATTAGGGCTATTTCCTAATTTAAGGAATCAAACAATGTTAAATGAACATTCTCATATGTACACTTTTGTTCATTCTTCATCTTAAAATTGCTAATGCAAAAGGTTCATTAAGTGCTATAATAAAATGAAAAAAAAATTGACCAAGTAGTTTTCAAAAATTGTGAAGGACACAGATACTACATAAGCTTGTCTACTTATCTGTACCTTTCTTAGTATTTTATATAACTTTCACTATAGTACACAAAGACACAATTTAAAAATATATTGAGGGACCATTGTTTTTATCAAAGTGGACATTTAAAGTGATCAAGTCTATAATGATATAAAAATTGGCTATATTGAGCAAAATATTAGCTCTTAAATTTCACTGTTGATCCATGCATTGAGAGTGTTTTCCATGCATCTCATGGTGTCAACCATAAAACATATATCCAATTTTGAAATTTAGTCACCCATGTCTTTAAATCATTAGATGTTTCCTGAAGACATTCTCAGCATGTCTTACATTATCTTAAAAGATTTTTAAAAACTAGACACAGTAAAAATGACAAATCATTACTGCTGTTGACCTTATAGGCTGTTTATATGTGAAACTCAAATATACCTTTAACAGTGACTTTGTGCTCCCCAGTCCCAGGGGTGGCAGTGATATCCACATGAACAGATATCTGACCCACTGCATCTTTGGAGGAGCGACCTGCAATTAAGCAGAAATCTTTCAGACCATTTACTAATGAACATCTCCATTTTCCACTTCATGGTTACAGTGTCTTCTTGGAAATAAGTTTACTATGCAAGTTTCAGCCTTGGGTCTAATAATTTAGCCCACTGAGATACAATTTCATGTGGCCTTTAGAAATTATGAGCTATTTTAATTAATAACCCTTCCTTTACTCTCCATCAATAAAGCTCTATTCATTGATTTTCTTTAAAAGCTTCTCTATAGTATGACATACCAGAGACACAAGGATGACGGTATGTAAAGCACCTGCTTTCCTGAAATGCACAGTAGGCACCAAAATATAAAAATGTTATTGTAGTATAGTAAGTTTATAAAATGTATTAGTGTATCATCCTGTTTATCTTTTCCCCTAAAAATACATGATGGGGATCATTCTGTTAAGGCTTCACATTCTTTTCTATTAGTCTCTAGAGCCCTCATTTTCTTACAATCTATCATAAGTCATTATCTTCCACATACACAAGCTCTTAATTCTTTCTTTATCAATGTTATGAGAGATTAAATAGAATCTTACCTTTATAAAATGAATGGCTACTGCCTAAAGTTGAAAATAAAAAGATCTGAATGACTCCAAGTTTTTAACTTCAGAAAACCATCAGGATTAGTACCGACTAATAGGAGCCAGTTCATCACTAGGGCCTCCCTCTCCCAAACACAGCTATTTGATAATATAAAGTAAGTATAAAATGGTCATGTTGGGCCTAAATAAAAGAGATTGCCATTCTGTGTTTTTACTGAAGGGAAGAAAACCTTTTGAACTTACCAGCAAAATAGTCATTTTGTTACTTGATTGGTTGCCTTTTTGGCAGATAGTTTGAATTGAGCAAGGTCAAGTGGTTATAAGCATACCACAGAGTCTGCTAAGATGACCTTCCTGTATTCATAGCTGCTAAAAATCATGGGAGCTGAAGTTCCAGAGCTGGGGATGACAGAGGTGATTGTGAACTGCAGTCTTATAAAGGACTATCAAGCCGGAGCAAAAAGACATTCACGTCAGAGGACTGTGGTGTGTGGCATCCGCTGAAGCTTCTATGGATGAAGTGTCCAATTTGTGAGCCTTGGCAGAGAAGCTATTTGGAAGTAAGTCTCATATCAGAGTGCTCTATGGAGCTGCTTCCTCCTCAGTAAACTAGAAGAGCCCTTACCATCGACCCAATAGAAGGCTTGCCACTAAAAGTCGCTACTATCATTCCAAAAGCATCATCTGTCTTTTCTTTTCTTCCTACCCAGGAGAAGGAAAGGTACACTTCCTCCTACTGCCACCATTTTGGCTGCCTTGGGGAGAGAAAAGGAGAGCTTTGAAGCAATTAAATCTTCACTGTGATGAGGATGGAGCCTTTAAAACCTGAATAATTTTCTAATCGTGCTAAGAACTAACTTAGTATACCTGGGTTACACGATACAGTAAGAGGGGTGTCTATACAGTAGAAGTTGGGCTCATAAGAGTGGATAATTACTTGGAGAAGTAATTTCATATCACCCCAGAATTGATGACATCCTTATGATATGGAGACTTCCTGTTTGAGAATACAATAGGTAAATATTGCAATTATTGAAATCTTCATTTGTGTATGTTAATTACATTTTATATTTTTAATGTGTCACAATTTAAAAAAAATGTTTATGCCTAGATCTTTTATCCCAATTTAAAGTAAACTTTTTTCCATCATAACTTGTAATTAGAATGCTACTAATTTATGTACATTATTTTTTATTCAACCAAATTATTCTCACTTAATCCTTTGAGATTTGCAGGAATGCAATCATACCCCCTAAAAAAGGAAACATTTACTTGGCTAGGCTAATTTTATTGGCTTTATATTTATTTCTACCCTATCTGCTCTGGCACTCTAGGATCTGGTTGAGTTTGGCCAATGAGAAATCTGGCAAGAGAATAGAAGGAGGAAGAAGGGACAGGTATTTCCTTCCTTCCTTTCCTTCCAAAAAACAACAACAAAAAATAATAAATAAATAAATAAATAACCTGTTTTGCTGAGGTCCACCTTTGCTGGCTGAATCCTGCAACTAAAATTTCTCTCAAGCAGCCCTCTCTCTGGGCTCTAAGAACTTCTTTATTATATCATGTTTTTATTCATAGTTCCTTTACTGGATTCTTGTCAAAAAAATCTCAATTTGGGCATTCCTTCTGACTCCTGCTGGAAATTTGATTAGTAATATGATTGATTTGCTCATAACTGTAGCAGAATACCTCCCTGGCAAGTATAAAGCCCTCAGTTTAAACTCTAGTATTCCCATTATATAGTATATTTTGTGAATCAATGAGATAATTTGTGGTGGGGAGGGCTTAAAATATAGACAATCACTAGTTTGCAACTATTGTCACTGCGTGTGTCCTGGGAGAAAATGCTTGAGGAGGCTCTTGAGGTTTGAATTGGAATTTGTCTTGTAGACAAAAGGAGCATAGAAAATACCATGTACATAAATGTGGATGTATAAAGCAAAATAGTGTGTCCTAGAAAATGCAGAATTCAGTATAGATGGAACATAGATGTGGGAGTGGAAATGTTAGAAAGTACTTTGAAGGGCATTTCAAAGTCCCTAGATAATATTTTAGAACTGCAGAAAATTATCTTAAGTTTTCAGACATGAGTGGTATAACCAAAGATTTTGAAAAAAATATCCTTCAGCCTGTGTAAAATATGTATTATTCTTATATGCAGGATCAAATCTCAAAACCCAACCTTTGACTTGACTGCCTTTGACTGTCTTTTACTGCAAGTGCACTGCTGGTACATGATATTATCATTGGACTAATTCTTTAAAACTTTCATTTTATCATCAGAAAAAAAGTACATTTTTATAACATCCTTTCTCCATTATTCTAAGAAGCCCTGTCTAAATACTTCTCCTATAAAATTCTTGCATTTTTCTATATATTATCTTTATTTATATAGTTGATAGCCTCAAATGTTATAAAACAGTATGAAAATTCATGACAATGGAATTAGAATGTCCTAATTACAAAGCTTCTCTCACTTATCAACAATCAAAACCTCATGAACTTCCATTTCCTTATTTTTAAATGGATATTAAAGGCCAGATGTGACAACTTTAGAGTGATTCAAGTTTTCTTACACTTTTCCTTACTTTGTTCACTATGATTTCCTTAACTGGGTACAATAAAGATGTCAGTTTGTTAAAAGCCTTCAAATGACTAATGGAAAAAGCCCCTGTGAAATGTATTTTTTTAAAACAGTATTATTGAAACGAAGTTAGCAAGCAAAGGCCTGTGAGTAACACAGAAAACCCCTAGCTTGTGGCTATTATCAAAAATAGAAAAGATAACAAGTGCTGGCAACAATGTGGAGAAAAGGGAACCTTTGTATATGGTCAGTGGAAATGTAAATTAGTACAGCAATTATGGAAAATGGTGTGGAGGGTCCCCCCCAAAATCTGTCTACCAGTGGATAAGTAGGTAAGAACAATATGACACATATATACAATGGAGTTGTGTTAAAAGAATAAAATCCTATCATTGTGACAACATGGGTTGGAGATTATCATTTTAAGTGAAATACAACAGGCACAGAAAGACAAGTATCGAATGTTCTCACTCATGGAGTTTTAAAATAGTGCCTTCCTAGAAGCTGAGAGTAAAATGGTGGTTACAAGAGCCCAAGGAAAGGTGGGTCAAACAGGAACAAGTCACAGACAGGAGCAAGAAGTTCTGATGTGCTCTTGCACAGTAGGGTAATTATAGATAATGATAATTTAGATTTCACAAAAAGCTAGAATAAAGGATTTTGCAAGTTTCCATCATTCAGAAATGCTAAATGTTTGAGTTAGATACGATTAACCTGATTTAAACCTCACACAATGTATACAGCTCATGTATTTGTCTCTGGTATATTAAGGACCAGAGTCTGCTCAGAACCTGGTTGATGGTTAAAACCTCTATTGATGACCTTACATGAAGTTCTGTATGGTGTAAACTAGCAACAGTTGGTTTCTTCCCTGAAACCATTCTGCCATTTAGGGCAGAATGATAGACAAATGATAGACAAATTATTCCTTTAACACATTTATAAATTATAAAAACATTCCACCAAAGCACTCATCAGGAGTTGTCATTTCTTCTTCTAAAAAGTAAATCACCAGGGTAATTTAAAGGCCTTAACTATGTTACAGAATTTAAGAGATTTAGATGGGAGTAAATATAAAATTCTATTTATGACAAACGTGGGTTTAGTACTCTTGTTTATGAAGAATTTGACTGTGCTCAAGATGATGCAGTAGACATGCTGATCTCTCCCTCCTACATAGAGAAGCAGAAAAATAATAGGTGCATAGCAGTGTTTTGAGGTAAGTAAACATGGGAGGATAAGGAGAATCAGCAAGAGGGAGCGCTGTAAGATTCAGAGACCCGAGATAACTGAATAAGGGAAACAAAGTACTCCATTGTCTGCTCCACAGCAGGGGTCAGGGAGGGTGGAAGAGAGAGTCCTAGCAAAGTGTCAGCATGGATGCTGGCTACCCTAGGTACTGGACAGTGTTGCAATCCTCACAAGGTTATCATCCATTTGGTCAGAAATCTACACAGTAGTCTGGCTCTGGAAAAGGATCTCACATCATCTCCTAGTGAACCCCCAGGTTGCTATAGCCAGGAGCTACCTTAGGAAGGGAGCTATTTCTTGAAATTATATTGCCACAAACACCTGCATATTGCTACATCTAAGACCTCACAGACATTCCACTGCACTGGCTCAGGGGTAGCTGCCTTCTGAATCCAACTTAGTCAAGCGGAGTGATTTTGAACCAAGGCCACTGGGTACCCTGCAGTGTAGGGACTGTGAGACAGAGAGGAATGGGAGGCACTACCTTCAAGAACCAGGAAATTGGGGAATTTGCCCTTTGTGGACTTGAACCAGTGTGAGGATTGCAGACAGGTTCCCAAGTGGTTTCCATCACCTTTCTCCTCAAGCCACACACAGGTG